TCCACCTGACCCACGTAATTTGACTTATGACCCCACAACTACTCACAATGTCATGATTCAAGCTACAAGCAGTATGGACTCATTGGGCCATGTGATATGCGTCGGGCCCCTTGGTTCAGAAGCTGGTACCAGATTTGGTATGCGTCAATCTGATACCAAAAACTTGAAAGTCTCAAGGATCAAAACCAATAGTACCCAAGACTCAAGAAATTCACTTTGGAGATTTATTCCTCTCTCCGCACCGCCAAAATACAACATCTTCCTTCGCAATCTACATGGCATTACTGTGCAAGCTCTGTCATGGTCCTTGGAAACACCACAAGGCACGTAGTGGTGGTGTAGTCCATTCTCGTGAAAGGTAGGAATGACACGTGAAAGGTAAGGCTGTACAAGCCTCGAAGATGACTAGAGTTTGAACTTTGCATTTTCAAACTCTATTCATCTCCTCCACGCCCATTCCTGTCCATCTTCTTTCACCCTCTCACAGAGCTTCAGTTCAGCTGGCAGTTTCTTTCTCTTCGTGTTAAACTCATAAAAACCATCCCGCCCACCCAGACAAGATTTTTCATAACCCACCCACCGACCCACCTGGAAACGGTCAGCTACATCTGTCCGTTTGGTTTTAGAAAACCAACGGAGGAGCTGACCGCGGCTTCCCCCACATACCTCCATCCTCACCAAGAGGCAAGGATGGAGAGAGGTGAGTTACCAATAATCGCCGTAAGGCGATGGAAATGAGAGAATCTCATAATAGAAACAAAGCTAAACTGAAACTAGAGAATGGATTATCTCTTGTTTCAATATCTAGAGATCTTTATGAATAACCACGTCTATCATTCTTCCATCTGGTGCGAATTTGTTTCCGTGGCTCAGAGTAGACCCAAAGACATCTGAATCAACCATTTTCATAAATTGACAATCCATTTGATCCCTCACATATGACTTCTAAGGACTTGTCCCAAAACTTTTGACAAATGGATGAGGTGAGTTCAACCTTCCAACCTTCACCGTCAGCGTATGCTGCCACTTTTCAATTGATGAAACCAACACTGCCAGCATATTAACCTCGGATTGGGAAATCCGAGGTGTTCTCGGATCTGAAACCTTGGACAGAAGCTATCCGAGGTTTTGATCCAAGGTAATTTTGGGCGCATAATGATACCTCGGACAGAAACCTCGGATAAGATCTGTCCGAGGATTTGCATCCGACAATACCTTGGATCTCCTGATCCGAGGCATCTATGTTGGTGGTGCAAATCCTTATCAGTATTGCTCTTAAGCCTCAGCTACAAGCATAGGACAAAGAAAGTGATCCACTCAACTGATGGGAGGATGATATGAAACCTTTTCAGCAAAAAACTTCATTCCGTTATCGCCTCTTACACATGATTTTTTCCTTTAGGTGTTGATAGATTTGGAGAGATGGTGGAATAGTTGACGGCAGAAATGCCCGCTGCGGAGTCAGAGAATGGAGGAGATGTGTTCTCTGGATGAGTGAGTAAGAAATCGCGTAGGGGAGTATGTATAGATTTGAGGGCTACAAGGGGCTAAAGTGTAAACAATGTTAACTGTTAAAGATGAGACATTGATTTAATTACAATCAATGGGAGATGAAATAAAGACTAACCGCTTGCATCTGGGATACCAAATGATAGATTGTAGACATATCAAGTGGCCTTAAAGCATCAAGATCCGCAAAATTGAGACACTGCGAATATAATGTATTTTTCCAAGGTGAAAAATGATTACATTTATTTCACAAAATGATTAAAAATGCATTAATTCTGCATTAATTCTGCATTTTTCTGCATTAATTCTGCATTATTAATCATTTTGTGCATTAATGTCCATCATTTTTCACCTTGGAAAAATACATTATTTTCACAGTGAGACCAAGTACAAGAGAAGGTCCACCACTGGACTCTGAGGCTTTAGTCTTTTTTGCTGCTTTTCAACGTCTTTGTCGGCGCCCATTTTCTTTGACGCCACCGTGAGTAACTAGCAACTTTGAGACATTCGTCCAGCGTACAAAGTCAGAGTCTGAAAGAGTTTTGATGTGCATGACCAGCAATCCACCGGAATCAATATGAATTGACTTTGACCGTCAAGAGATTGAGATTGGTGCTAGGCTGATGTAGACCAAATCCCTGATGCTTGACTGAGGTGAAAAAGGGTATGAGAGGGTAGCAGGTTGATCGGTCAGATAGAAATATTGCCTTGTCAATCTTGTGGGGAATGAAAGAAAGAGACAGTCAGATCGCGGTAGCAAGAAGCCAGGTAAGTGACATTGTCAATTCTTCAACATCCTAATATCAGAGTGATGGAAGAATGGGTTCAAAAAAGATCTACATAGAATCTGAAAGAGAGAGGGAGAAATGGACTGAGCATCCTTCAAGAAGTGGTTGACCAATCAGAGAATTTGGCTTGGGTGGTGATGGATTTGAGTTCATATTGATTTGTAAAGTGGATCAATAGTTTTGATGAGATTTTGAGAAAAGTTGAAATATCCAACGGTTGCCCCAAACTTAACATAAGTCCCATGCGGACCTAACCAATGGGACTTATGTTAAGTTTGCGGTTGCCCACTCTGACTCAGCTGAACTGACAGGATCTGACCCGGCAAGCGTGGCCGGACGTGTGAGCTGGCTCTCCAATGTGGAACGGGCGATGGTCACTGCATTTCTTGAGGAAGGATAGTTCATAGGGAGCTTCGAGGTGTTCAGTGAAGAACAGTGAGCGTTCAGTGGGTACTACTGAGCGTTCAGGGCTTCTTGTCTCTTTATAGTCTGCCTGAGTCTTGGCTCAGACTGATGAAGTTCAGCCTAAGGTGATGTTCATGCAATTTTTGCCCTTTGTCACATTTGTAGACATTTGTGACACAAAAATCACACAAATGCGAGAAACTTGCCAAGACAGTTGGGCCCCCGACGTCGGGGGCCTTCTCCACAGGCACTGTGTGTAATGATTTGTAATGCTAAAGAAAGAAATAACAAATAAATATCAATTACTACAAAATTGTGTTATGTTAGAAGATAGTAGAAGATGGTTATTAGGATAGAAAGTTGAAGTAAAAGAATAAGATAGATGTTATATGTTATATTGTGTATATATATGTTTTATGTGATTATTGTTTCAGTTTTGTCTTCATCGAATTATTAACGTAGTTTTCTTAACTCTTAAAAATCTATACGTGCCTTAAAGTTGAGCAATGCTCAACCAGACCCTAGACAAGAGCCCTTACAGTATAATTCAATCTTTAAAACCCGTTCAAATCTTAATTTCCTTATGTTTTCTTTTCTTTTATACATTTATCTCATTCTTTATCTTTTTGTTTTACTTAGTTTCGGACATCAAATGTTTTGAAATTTTTAAATTCATAATTTTGACCTTTTTTTTAATGTGTTTATTGTTTCCCGATATGGGTAAAATTTGATTGTTTATATATTTTGTTTTGCAAGTGATAGTCCCCTCGGTTATATGGGGATGCTATTACGTCATTATCATATTCTCGTGTTTGTGGTGGATTATCAAGTTGTTGAACCTCTTCTTTTTCTATTTTTTTGCATCTTTCTTTTCAATTCACAAGTTATCAGATAGTCTTCTAGTACTTATACAAAAATCTTTCATCATTCTACGAAATAGTTTCTCTTATATTTCAATATTTTCTTTACACTTTTTAATTATGACTTTGCCTCAGTCTTTGAATCCTTCAAATCAGTCGTCATCGCTTTATGTACTATCAAATTTGGACCAACAATTTGTGGCACGATTTTTAGAACCTAGATTAGAATCCTTTCATAATTCAGTCAATGGGGTAATTGATGACCGCAATTCGAATGCTTCCGCCGCTATCGAAAAACTGCTTACTTCCTTGATCCTTCAAGCTAAGAACGAAGTCATGAACGTTCTTTGTGAGGAGTTCAATAATCATTTGAAAAAAGTAGAAGAAAAAATCAACGCTGGTTTGAATGGTGGCTTTGCAACTACGAAGAAGACCTGTCTTGATGCTTTGGATGATGAGCTTACAACTTTTCGTAGAAATTTTCTAATTAAGCTGGATCAAATGCTAATCCTGAACCCCCAGTAATCGCTGGCTTGAACTTTGATGGTACAGATCCTCGTAAAGTGCCTGGTTTTATTAGTGCGATTAGAGACTCTCTGTTCGCGAATGCGGTTTGTTTTTCTGGTGATGATAGAAAGATAAATTGGGTCGCGAAGCACTTCCCTTTGGCTTCTGGTCCACATGACTGGTGGATGAGTGTATCAAAACTTAATGATAGGGAAAATGGTGTTAAAGAATCAGATGTTTTTTCGGTCGATCCTACCCCTTTCACAATTGGTCCTTTAAAATCTTTGGCAGCTTTTTTTCAAGAATTTCTCGACAAGTTTGGTGACAAGTTTGCAGAAGAGCGTTTATTTCTGGAGCTTCAATCTTTTAAGCAAGGCAAACTCCCGGTTTCGCAATTCATTTCTTGTTTTAATTCAATGGCCTTTCAGATGCAACTTTCATTGGTGGTATTGAAGAATCTTTTTACTTCTGGTTTAAGAGCTGATGTTAAAGATCGAGCCAACGGTGGCTCGCTAAGCTAAGCTAAGGATTCTTGCCACCTTGGCTTAGCTTAGCTAGAAGCCGCTAAGGAAAAATCCGCTAACGCTAATCTTAGCGGATTTCCGCTAATGCTAAGCCATTAGCTTAGCGGGCGTAAAATGACACCCGCTAAGCCAATTGATTGGCCGCTAAACCGCTAATAGCGGCTTAGCGGCCCTTTTTTGCACTTAAAACATGTATTCTTTTGATAGCTAAGCTCCCGGCTTAGCTTAGCGCAGACCCGCTAAAGGAAAAATCAAAATTCGATTAGCTTAGCTTGAGTGCGCTAAGGATTTAGCGCTAGCTTAGCGACGAAAAATCGCTAAGCTAATGCACCACTAAGCGCTAACTTAGCTTAGCCGTGCCACCGTTGATCGAGCACTCAAGCATCCAGATTGGTTCAAGTGCAACACTATTGAAGAACGACAAGCAGTAGCTCTGATGGCCTCTGAACAAATACCGGGGTTTGAGAATTAGAAGGAGTTGAAACTTGTGATTGATGCTTCTGCATGAACAATTCGATTTCTTGAGTAGTTCGAGGTGGAAGATTTGGACAACCGATGCCTTTACCGTCAGGACCCTTATGAGTGGAGTTGTAAGCTTTGAGGCACCGATGACACAATTTTCGATTGTGACAAAATTTGACAAAAGATCTAAAAGAAACACCAGTCGGTAAAGGTGGAAAAGGGTGTCGAGATGCCACAGCATTGATATCGACGTCCATCGCACTGGGATCCCAAGGAATAGGAACAGCCGGTGGCATAGAAGCGGCTCGTTGCATCGAATGAGAATTGACAAGAGAGTGATTGTTTGCACTAACGTGCATTTTCTGCAATATCTTCTCGGGTACCTCGGCCTCCGGTTCAACTGGCTATTCCGAATTTGACTACGGTTCAGGATGTACAATCAGCCTATCAACAAGTTCCGGTTGGGTATCAGTTGCCTCCTCACCTTCCGATGTATCAACCTTATCAATTTAGCCCTATGTCTCATTATCCAAATCCGTTACAACATCCTGGTTTGCCTGCAGCTATGGGAGTCCCAGCGGCAGTAGGCATGACAAATCCGGTTCAACAAGTGTCGGCTCTGTTCTCCGAGTATCAAAATATCAACCAACCAACTTATTACAACAATTCGGGAGCTGATCAATTAGATGAGACTCCGATGTTTGATCCGACTGATGATGGTATAATTGAAGATGTGGTAGAATCCGAAGTCCCTGCGATCCATTTCAAGAATTCTTCTACTAAAGATTCTCGTCTTATTTTGTCCATACAACTCACCTCTGGTGGTAAAACTTTTATTGCTAAAGCCTTAGTCGATTCAGGCGTGTCGGGTAGTTCTCTTGACAAAACATTTGTTCAACAGAATTCGTTTGTTTTACATCAAAGACCTTTTCCCTTAAAATGTGTGACTTTTGATGGTTCTGCGGGAAAAGATAGCCTTGTTACTCACTTTTGGCGTGGTGGTCTTTCAATCTCCGACGACACCAATCATTTGTTTTGATCCAATGTTTCCCTCGATGTCACCACTTTAGCCGGTTATGACGTAATTTTGGGGATGGATTGGTTACGCTTACACCAAGGATGGGTGGGGGGATCTGGACCATCGTTACGGTTGGATTCACCCCGTTTTTCAACTTTTTCTAATGAAATTGGTGAATATCCAAATTTTTTCAAATCACAATTTTCTTCAATTCTGTCATCTTCAACTTCACCCCTCAATCCTTCAATTTCTTTGATCAAACCTTCAGTTTCTCTATTGTCTTCTTTACCAAAGGAGTTCAGGCAATTTGCTGATGTGTTTCAATCACAGGAGTCTTCTTGTTTACCTCCACATTGTGAGGCTTTCGACATGGAGATAAGGTTGAAGGAGGGTGCTGTTCCGACATACGGTGGATCTTATTTGTTATCAAGGTTGGAGGAGGTGGAATTGAAGACATGGCTTGATGTGCAATTGGCGAAAGGAAATATACAACCCTCTTCTTCATCTGCTGCATCGCCTATTTTTTTTGTTAAAGTG